ACTATGTAGTGTAGGCTGGCCTTGAACTTACTATGTTGTCTAGGTTGGCTTCAAATTCACAGCGATTCTCCTCTCAGCATCCCAAGTTCTGGGGTTATAGCCGAACACCACCATATCTGGCTCTAATTTTTGTGTGTGTGACTGTCCTGCTTCAGTCTCCTGAAGGCTAGGATTACAGAGGCGTGGAAATTCCTGATCATTTACAGAATGTGTTCTTTACATTTTCAAATCCTGAAGGAGGAGGCACTGGAGCAGAGCAGGGCTGAGCCCAGATTTGGGGGTCACATGAAGCTGAGATTGAGTACTGCCTTTATCACGAATCCACCAGGTGATCTTAGTCAGGGCTCACCAAGTCCTATGCTGACTCCTCTGAGCCTGGGTCTTCTTCCTGCTGTGTGAGATGGGACAAGTGTGCAAATCTGACAGGGCTGTGCTGGGCGTGCATGAATGACACATGCCGATTGCTCAGCAGTGCTCACAGCTCCCCGAGGAGGGATTCTACAAACCTGAGCTGGCTTTAGAACAAACAGTTAAGCCGCAGGACAGGCCTCAATTCCACTTCTTATTCTCAGCAAGTGCAAGATAACTATAAGCTCTGTATTCTTCCAAACCAAGCAGAAATTTGGGTCTGCCTCTCTGGTTTGCTTAGTTGGGGTGACCAAATTCTCTCGGAGGAATGGTCTAGGTTTTTCCCTATCACACAAGTTAACAGTAACCCAATTATCAGGGTTTTCGTAAGAATGTTATCTCAGTAGATGAAAACTTTTTGGTTTATTTGGCTTTGTTTTTGAGACAGGGTCTTGGTATGTAGCCCAAGCTGACCTCTAATTTGCTGGGATCCTCTTGCCTCAGCCTTCCAAATGCTAGGATTACAGGCATGTACCACCTGACCTGGCAAAACACCACATTAAATTAACTCTTGTTAAGTCTGTGGTCCATCAAAGGGCTTAATGGACAAGAGAGTTGGGACTTGGTCATCATTTTCAGGACTGTTGTTTTGAGGCTGTAGAACATTCTTGTTTACAACAATGAAGGGCAGAGGGGATGTAGTAGGGTGAAGAGAATTCAGCTGTTGGAGAAAGAAAGACAGGAGCAAGCTTTAGCACCGCCCAGGCCAAACAGCCAGGAACCTTGCCAACAAGAGAAAGCTTGCATGGATTTTCAGGAAAGACTCTGGGCCACAACATGGGGCCTCCTCCATGTGGGCCGGGAGAATTCTGGCAGCGGCCCCCGGCCCAGGCGTGTTCCTTCGTAATTGAAATCGGGTGTGCTGGGGGAGGCCTCTGCATTCTTCCTGGCTGCAGAAGCATCGTCCTGCAGTTGGCTGGGTTTGGGATCAAAGCCAGTTAGTGTTGATTTTCTGCAGCACGGAAATAAACGCAATGAAGCCATTTTCCCAAGCAAAGCCTGCACTTTGAAAGGATTTTAATTTTTTTTCCCAAGGGACAGGTGGGGTAAGGAAATGGAGGAGTATAACATGGCTCTTCTATTGCTTTTTTTTTTTTTAATTGGGCTCACAATGTCTGCATGAGCATACACAAATCAGGAGATGAGTGGGTACAGCTTCAGTGCTGGCTGTATCTTGCACCACAGATAAAATTAAAAAAAAAAAAAAAATGCTGCTGGAAGACCCTCTGGCCATGTGTGATAAGTCACATTTTAGTTGTTGTCTGTTGGAATGCTTCCAAGAGAAAGTTCTCTTTATTTCTCCTAAAAATTTTCTGCTGACTCTTCTTCGCTTCCAGGTCATTTTCTATGATCACTTCTTTTTGCTCCAGAATTAGTTTGTGTTCCTTCGTTCAGTCAGCACTGAAGTTCTCTGGTGCCAAGCATTATGCTAATGATGTAGAGAGACACGGACAAGTTCCAGTTGTAGAAACGCTCATTCTTTTGCAGGAGACTTGACTTCTGTGATGCTCTGGTCAAAGTCTGGTATTTTTGCCCATGAGGCCCATCACTAAGTCACTGAAAATTTAAAATCAAGAATCCATACAGCTAAAGGGGATCTGAGTGGGCTTTTTATTTATTTTTTGGTGGTTCTGGGAATCAATACCTTACCCTACTTGCCGAGCTATGGAGCGAGGGCTGTTTCTTTTTAGTATTTTTTGTTTGAGACAGAGTCTTACCAGGTAGCCCAGGCTGCCTGTAAACTCATGACCCTGCTGTCTTAGTCTCCTGAGTGCTGGGATTACATATCCAGTTTAGGGCTGGTCCATTTCTTTTTTTTTTTAGACAAGATTTTGTTCTGGGGGCCAGGGATTTACCTCAGCGACATAAGCGCCTACCTGGCAAGCGCAAAGTCATGAGTTTGATCCCCAGTACCAAAAGAAAAAAAAAGATTTTACTGTATAATTCAGCTGAACTTGATCTCACTATGTAGCCCAGGCTGACCTCAAACTCATGGCACTCCTCCTGCCTCAGCCTCCCAAATGCTGGGCTTGTGCCATACCTGGCAGGGGTTTTTTTTTTTTTAAACAAGGAAACAAATGTGAAGGATATTTGGTCTGGGACCTGCTGCTTCTGGATAAGATATGGTAAATGACATCTCCATGGAGGCCAGGTCAGGACTGGTTCTCCCTCTGGATATTTATACTCAGTGCTGTCCTCGGATTTTCATCATTTGAAAAGAACTGCACCATTAGTAAGAGGCCATTTACCCAGGGTCTTACAAGCCTTCATGCGGCAAAGCTCTGAAGGTAAATTTGCTCATTTCCCCTTCTGGACTGACCTCCCTGCATTAATTTCGAGGCAATCAGGTTAGATCTGAAAGGGGATTTACAGCAAGGACTGAAAAGAAACAAAGCTGCTTTAGTTCACTGAGTGAACTCAGAAATTAGCCTTAGAGTAGCAAATGTTATCTGCACCAGCGCAGCTCCGTGCCAAGTACCAAATCCACATTTTCTAGATGATTCCAGTAAGATGTTTTGACCTGAAGCAATTCAACACTGCCTGAAGGCCTGCAATCATCTTGTAGAAAACAAATTGTTCATCTCTTCCTTTAATGGGGCAAGAATGCAAAATCCAGATTAAGACCAACTATAGACCAGCTTTCATGCTCTCCTGTGCTTGCAGGATTACAGGGAGACTGGCTTGCACCCCTGAAGACCACACCTAGCTATAGTGCATCTGAGACTCTAGGTTTTGGGGAGTACAGCTTTCAACATCAGTCCCTGTGCTCCAAAGTATCTGTGAGTCTCCCAGGGATAGCGTGTGTTTCAGGAACTCAAGGAAAAGAAAAGTGTTCATTAAAGAAATGAAAAGATGCTACAAAGGAGCTGATTATGATTATTAGGATAAAGAGGCCACAACCCCACTCTCCCAATAAAAAGCAAGAAGCTTTATATACTTTTTTTGGTACCAGGAATCAAACTCAGGGACCATTGCCTTTGCCAGGCAGGTGCTTATGCTGCTGAGCTACATCCCCAGCCCAAGCCTTAGGTAACTTATAATACTCAAGAGCAAACAATGTTCTTGGTTTGCTCCAGGAAGACCACAGAACATTTCTGGGGGAAAGTCAAGTTCATATCACAGAGTGGAAGGCAACACTTGTCTCTTTTCTTAACTGTTTCCCTGTCACTTAAAAGTTTTTAACTTTAAAAGCTGCATCTGTTGGTGGAACCACTATGCAGATATTCTAAAACTCCCAATTTAAGAACTTTCACAATTACAAAAGTGGACAGAAGTGAGCTAAGTGGGAGACAAGCAAGACCTTAGGACCCATCTCTAGTGCAGGATGACAGAAAGGGGCTGGCCAGCAGCTGAGAATACCTGGTGGTGTTCTAAGCTTCATAGGGTAATAGCTGGGTCTTTGGGTGCTCAGATGTCCTCTATAGTATCAAATAAGCAGGGGCTGGGTCTCCTGACTGATCTTTGGGTCTTCTGCCAAAGGAAAAAACAATGTAGCTTTACCTCAGAGAAGGCAAGTTTCTTCCAAATGTCAAGGGTGACTTCTGCAGCAGAGTGAGGTTGCGCACCCCTCTAATCCCAGCTACTCAGGAGGTTGAGGCAGGTGAATCCCAAGCTTAAGACCAGACTGGGCAATTAAGCAAAACTCTGCCCCTACAAAAAAAAAAAAAAAAGGAATTTTTTTTTTTTTTTTTTAAAACAAGCCTTAGATCCAAATGATGCCACCACCTCAATCACTGAGGCATCATGTGTGGCCACCAAACTATGAATAGACCTTGTACCAGGTTTTCCAAATGATGACAGGAGGGTGCTGCTCCTTTGCAATGTGCCAGTGCTTATCCCCAGGGGCTGCTGTCTGCAGGTTCTTCCCAGCCTCTGGACAAGGGCACTTACGCTATGCAAACAGGGGTGGTAGTTGTATCAGGTGACTTACATTACTCAAGGTATCCTAATGGGTCACATTTGTTTCCAAAATCAAAAATGGCTTCAGCTTGGTGTGTGTGTGTGTGTGTGTGTGGGAAATGGGCAAGTCACAGGTGTACAAAACTGATTGCTTTTGAATTTCAAGAGTTGTGTGCTGGGGCTAGGCAGTGGTGGTTCATTCCTGTAACCCTAGCATTCAGGAGGCTAAACCGAGGATCACTGCAAATTCAAGGCCAGCCTGGGCTATGAAGTTAGTTTACGACCAGCCTGAACTGCATGACAAAACCTAGTATTATAAAGACAAGAGTTGGGTCTCTGGATTTTCCCCTATCCTAAGCCTCTAAATTTAGGTATTTTTCTCTAGTTTATATACCTGGGTCCACTTTTTTTTTGAGATGGGGTCCCAAATCTCTGGGCCATAGGGATCCTCCCACACCCTCCAGAGTAGCCTAGACTACAGGCTTGTGCCACCATGACTGGCATAGGTTCAGGGACTTTTTGGTAGTTTGGGGAACTGGAGAAAAGGACTGTATAGATGAAAATTTAGTGGCTCACTATAGTGTTGAGTTGATTTTCATGCTGCCTTCTAAATCCAGGCCACTGGCAATTAGATCATTGGACACATGCTCCCAAACAAATGTCAGAGAACACAAATTTCACACTTGACAGAGTAATTTCAAAGTTTGGTTATTTTAATAGAATTTTATTATTCAAGATAGTAAGGGTAAATTTAATGGTTCATTTCCATCCTGAAGAAAGTCGTAACAGCTTCTCATTTAACTTCATCAAATTCAAACATAACTTTTTGATCTTCTTTTGAACTAACATTTTCCTTGATTTTTTTTCCTGGAAAGTTTTTTAAGCCTTCAAGTAGTTTGGAAATATCTGCCTATTTGCTTATCCCTCTGGGCACAGCCTTCCCAAGCATTTATTCCACCTGTGTTGAAAGGCTGCTCTCCAGCTGGTGGCAGGGCCGCTTGATCGAGATCATAATGAGATGGGGAGCTAGCTTGTAAACTACTTCTAATTCTCTTAATTAGTATGCTACAATCCACCCCAGGTTCTGCAAGGTCAGACATGCAAGACAAGTACTTGGCCAAAACCGCAGGATTCTCACTAGTGCAAAAATAGATTTTAAATAAAATAGAATCTCTACAGGAAAGAGAATTAGGTTATGCTTTACATTCTCATTCTTGCTTTATGATATCTGTAACCATGGAGTGGTGGCTGCCCTAAGCAAAAATTAAGAATGTCTAAGTACATTCGTTTTGCAGTTACAGGTGAGGTTTTTTGAGAAATGCTGCAGCACATTCCACAAAACTGGATGGCGCTTAGCAATACAACTGATGTGTTAATAAGCAACGTGTAAGACATTTAGGTCCAAGGGGATGAACCCCAAAAATGGGTTTTAAAAAAATCCAAAATGTGACAATTAAAAACCTTTGACTGGGCTGGGGGTTTAGCTCAGTGGCATAAGCGCCTGCCTGGCAAGCATGAGGTCATGAGTTCAAGTCCCAGTATCAAACAAAACAAAACACAGAAAACAAACACCTTTGACTAATTATAAAGAAAACAAAACCCATCATTTAACAGTAATCTACCCAGCCACCTGTTCTAGATGCCCATTTGCAATATGGGTCTTGCTTCAGTTTTGCTGAGTTTCTCCATGTTAGGAATTATTTGATGTTTCTGGTTCCAGAGAAAAGTACAAAACCCCTCTGCTGGCCTACAACAAACATTACATGACTGTTGAAAAGGGGGCTCTGTTGAAATCCATTTTAGGATTTAGACACAGCCTTTGGTTATATCTTGAAAGCATAATTGAAACTCTGCCCAAGCTCCCTCTAGCTGCAACCTGAACATGCAGCCTGATCTTTTGTAAACATTCAGAAAATCCTGATCCTAGCAAAATACAGAATTAGCTAGTCAGAAGCCTCACCCTCTATATTTTCACAGGGAGGATAAATTGCCTTGCTTATTTTTGCAAGATGCTAAGAAAACCACTCAGAATCTTGGAGTAGCCATTAAGCCTCTTTATTGGGGGCAGGGGTTTGGAAACAGGGTCTTGCTATGCAGTTCAGGCTGACCTTGAACAGTGTAGCCCAAGCTAGCCTCAAACTGGCAGTGATCCTCCTGCCTCAGCCTTCCAAGTATTGGGAGTGCTGGGATTACAGATGTATACCACCACACCTTAAAAGCCTCTCTTATTTGAATGCATAAGGGTGCACAGTCACCAAAAATAAACAGTGAAACTGCCACCATTTTTGAACACCGGGCCTACTCAGCCTGTCCTGGGCTACTTGTTTTTTCTGGCAGCCCCACAGCAAGAAGAGATGGCTGCTGATGACAAGCTAGTGCCTCATTTACAACTCACCCTCTTTTCATGTAACACTCGAGCAATTTTTTAACTCCCCAGAGTTAAGGGCAGGGATGGCAATCATGTGATACTGATGCTAGGAGACTTTCCTAGCTCCTTAGCAGCCAATGGGAACCTTTTTTAAAGCAGGAGCTATGACTTTCAGGCAGTTTAGTGCTTCAGTGCTAGGTAACATTAACTTGAGTTTATAAAAAAACTTGTATTAGGGCCAGGGATTTAGCTCAGCAACATAAGCACCTGCCTAGCAAGTGTGAGGTCGTGAGTTTGATCCCCGGTACTAAAAAACAAACAAACAAACAAAAAAACTTGTCTTAAACCCAGCTGAGAAATGAATGCCAAATACTGCAACTCAAACACAACAGAAAAATGCACAGCAGAGGTGGGGCATCTACCAAGCAGGAAGGCAAAATGGTCATTAGAATGTCTGAGGTTAGTGAACTCGTACCAACTTTGAAAACATTGCCCATTGCCATCAGTTCTCCTGACAGCAGCCTCTACATTTTCTACATCACACAATAGCAAAGAGCCAAACACTGGCTTGATCCTCACTTGTACTTATTAGGGCCCACCCTCCCACTTTGCCGAAGGTTCCGACAACCCTTGCAGTGCCAGGACAGTCTCAAGCAGTTTTTCTGGAAGTCACTTGCCCCTCTTGCTGCGGCCCTTCCTGGATGGCACTTTCCCACTGCTGCCTGAAGATGAGGGACTGGAGGCCGAGGCCATGGGGATGTTAATCTGTCCCTCCTGGATTTCCTGCCGTGCCCCAGCAGGCAGGTGGCTGATCTGCTGCTGTGCCTCCAGGTAGAACATGACATCACGCAGCTGCTCCTGGATCTCAGTGATCTGCAGGTCTTTCTGGTCACAGGTCTCCTTCAATAACCTCTCCTCCTCCTTCAGCTTGTTCTGCAGAAGCACTTGGTTGGCTCGCAAGCATTTGTTCATTTCCTGCTCCTCCTGGAGCTCTGTTGTGAGTTTGGCCACTTTCGTGTTTAGTTGAGTACACCTTTTGCAAAACAAAGGAAGACAAAAGCACATTTTTTCACTAGCAGACACACACCACTTTCTGCATTGGGATGAACAGCAGCCAGGACCTCAGAACCTGTTTCTGGCAGGCCTCTCCAGTGTGGCAGGAAACCAACACAACTATGATCAGCTATGCCAAGGAAGAATCTGGCCCAGGTGTACTCTCAAGACACTTTTTAAAAAAGCATCTGAAAATTTTCAACAGCAGAAGGTGTGTGACTCATGGTAAAAACTCTACGGCTTCTCTGCTTGAAGCCATTGCTAAATAGGTGCTGCAGAGATGATAGCTGTGATAAGCATGTTATGAGGAACAATGAAATTCTTGGAGAGTCAAGAGCTCTGACCTCATTGCATTTGCTGGAGAAGAAAAGGTGTTTATGTCTAACGAAAGGGTTTTCAAGAATTGGGTGTGACAATTCTTAATGCCCAATCTTACTCATAGGTAAAGAATTACAAATTAAAATAACATTTGAGAGCCCATTTGTATATGTCAGAATGCCAAAGGCTCAGACACAGGAAATGAGGCACTCCTACGTGCTGGCACTGGAGCGTGAACTGGTACAAACTCTCTGGAAGTCAACTTGGCAATATGTACAAAAATAAAAATTCACATGCACTCTGACACAGCTAGTCTGCTTTTTTAATCTCATGGAACAAATATACTTAGGAGTGTGCAGACAGACAACAGGAGAAAGATGTTTATTCCAAGAACGCTTATAGAGCTGGTTAAGGTGGGAGATGCCCGTAATCCCAGGACTTGGGAGGCCAAAGCAGAAAGAGTATCATGAGTTCAAGGCCAGCCTGCACTGCATAGTGAGACCCTGGCTCAAAAGAAAAAAAAAGTTTATAGAAGTGTAAGACTTAAGAATTTAAATACCTAGGGGACTGGTTAAAATTATTATGGTTCATCTATACCATGCAGACCATCCAATTGCTACAAAGATTAAGTTACATCTAGATGTGCCAGTCAAAACATCTCCAGAACAGTACTTTACCAAAGAGAGTACTTATTTTTTTTTTTTTTTTAGAAAATAAGATGATGTAGGTGAGACGTTTGTGTGGGTGGAGCTAATGATCAGGAAGAATAAATACTCACTGGTACTGATGATAACAGTTACCTACGGACAGCTTGGGCTTGAACTTGCAGTGAGCCTCCTGCCTCAGCCTCCCAAGTGCTGACTAACTTTGTCTTTAACTAACTTAAACTTCTTAGAAGAATTTAGTATTTTGGGGTACAAGGGATTAAATTTAATGTTGAAAAAAAATTTAGAGGGCTGAACATTATCCTTAACCTCTTTTTATTTTGAGACAGGGTGTTACCATTTTGCTTAGGCTGCCCTTAAACTTGTGATCTCCCTGCCTCTGTCTCCCAGATAGCTGGGATTATAGGCATGTACCACCACATGCCTTAATATTGCAGTATTGCTTTATAATAAAAGTTTAATGACAGATTCTGTTTGGGATGATGAAATATTCGGGAAATGTAACTGTGGTGGATACACAACACTGAAAATGCACATAATTACACTGAGTTATATACTTACAAATGGTCAAAATGGCAAATTTTGTGTGGCATATACATTTTTCCACAACTAAAATACTTCTGTTTTTTTCACAATACTGGGGAGTGAACCTAGGGCCTCTGATCCTTGCAGTCCTGCTTCAGTCTCCGAGTGCTAGAATTGCAGACATGTACCTGCATGCTTGGCTCCAATCTCTTAAACAGGGTCTCACGAAGTTGCTGAGTTGCCCAGGCTGTACCTGAATTTCCTTTTTTAGTTTTTTTGAGACAGGGTCTCACTATATAGTCTAGACTGGCCTTGAACTTGCAGTAATCCTCCTGCCTCAGTGTCCCAGAGTGCTATTAATTGCAGGCATGTATGAACATGCCCACCTAGACAATTTTTTTTAACAGTAAGGAAAAATAGGAGCTGGGGATTTAGCTCAATGGCATAAGCACCTGCCTTGCAAGCAGGAGGTCATGAGTTTGATCCCAAGTACTGATAAAAAGAGATTAAAAAAAATTAAAAAAAAAAAAAAACAGTAAGGAAAAATGGGTAATGGACAATGGGAAATCTATGCACTACTATCTTTTCATTTCTTTCTTTCTTTTGTGTCTTTTTGAGACAGGGTCTCTCTATGCAGTTCAGGCTGGCCTTGAGCTCACTTTGTAGCCCAGTCTAGTCTCGAACTTGCAACAATCCTCCTGCTTCAGCCTCCCAAGTGCTGGGATTACAGTGTGAGCCACCATGCCCAGCTCTTCAATCTTTTTCTTTTTGGTGCCAGGGATGGAACTCACAACCTTATGCCTGACAGGTAGGCGCTGTGCCGCTGAGCTAAATCTCCGGCCCTCTTCAATCTTTTTGTAAGTCTAAATTTACTCTAAAATAAAGTTATTTAGGGCCAGGAACTTAGCTAAGTGGTTGAAGCACTTGCTTGGTAAGTGCAAGGTTGTGAGTTCAATCCCCAGTACTAAAACAAACAAAAAAAAAAACAAAAATCACAGCACTTGGGGCTGGGGATTTAGTTTAGCAGCATAAGTACCTGCCTTGCAAGTGCATGGTTGTGAATTTGATCCCTGGTACTGACTTAAAAAAAAGTTATTTATACATTAAGGACCAATTATCTCCCTGAGATTTTTATTTTTTTCTTTTTCCTGAAACTTATTTGATCCATTTGTAGGGATGTAAAAAATCCAATCATTTCTTTGAATATAACTTAAGCCAGAAAGGTAATTGCAATCAGTAATAATGTTCTTTCCCAACAACAGTGGAAAGGAATGTTCTTGCCATGTTCTGATTTTTCTACTACACAGTCAATACCTTCCATTATTTCTTGCCAAAGGCCAAGTTCTACATTTCCAGTATAGCAGAGTCTCTTTCTTAACTGTCAGGGCTCGGCCACCACGGCTCAAAGAAGCTGCAGGCTCCTGACTGCATTCGACATAGCACCCACCTTTTGGGAAGCACTACATGTTTTAATAAAAGACAAGTCACAGTAAGTTTGCTCTGTCTGTAGGGAAGACCCTTAAAAACCTGGTCATATACAGTATCCAGCTGAAAAATAAAGTGTTTCTAAAGGAATGACAGAAATTGTCAGTTTATAAAACCTGTAACCAAAAAGTGGCTAATTTAAAAAACTGATGCTGGATGTAGTGAAGCACACCTGTGAGCCTAGCAGGAGACTGAGGTAGGAGGAGCCCAGCTAATCCAGCAGGCGGGGCTACACAGTGAGTTCAAGACCAGCCTGAACTACACAGTGAGACCCTGGCCCAAAAACTAAAAATAAATAAGGAAGGAAGGAAAGAAAGAAGGAAAAAAAAAGAACAAACTGATGAACCAATTACACCTACTTCCTTTCCACAGACTGCTTTTCTTTCAGGAGGTCATTTAGTCTGTGTTCCAGACTATCACACTTCTCAATTGTTTCTTTAAATTTTGTCTTCATGTTGTTAATCTGAAAGAGCAAATAAGAGAACAGGTAAATTTTTGTGGTCCTGGGGACTAATGTCATCCCTTTATCCCAATTATCTGTTGCAACTCTGAATAAGCACTTCAAAAGATATAATTGTTTGAAAGAATTTTTGTGATAAGAACATATATATTTTTTCTTTCTTTTCTTTTTTTCAGTACTGGAGATTAAACCATGGTCTTACAACTGAGCTATGTCCCCAGTACTTTTAAAAAAACTGCTGCCAGGTATGTGGCACACACCTTTTTTTTTTTTTTATCGGTACCGGAGATCGAACTCGCAACTGCCTGCTTGCAAGGCAGGCGCTTATGCCGCTGAGCTAAATCCCCAGCCCCCGTGGCACACACCTGTAATCCCAGCATTTGGGAATCTGAAGCAGAAGGATCACTGTGAGTTCGAGGTCAGCCTGGGCTACAAGTGAGTTCAAAGCCAGTCTGAACTGCATAGTGAAACCCTGTCTAAAAAAAGAAAATGAAGAAAAAAATTGCTGGGCATGGTGGCACATGCCTGTAATCCTAGCACTTGGGAGGCTGAAGCAGAAGGATTGCCATGGGTTTGATACCAGCCTGGGATCTATAGTGAGTGTGAGGCCAGCCTGAACAGAACTACATAGGGAGACTCCAAAAAACAACAACAAAAAAAATTTGGTTTTGAGTTGTCTAGGCTGAATCTGTCCTAGGGTTACAGGTTTATAACCCTGTAATATCTGGTCCAGAAATAAAATTTTGAAGGAATCTTTTTCCTTCTTACTATTTCTCTGTACAGGATGAGGAAGATACCAACTGCTGAACATCCAGTAAAGCAGCTAGAGTAGCCAGCAAGCTTGAGGCACTGGAGCAGGAATAGTCTGGCGGAGGCCAACCAGAGCCTCCCACTATTAATTCTCCACTGCCTTTTCCTCCTGAGCTTATACCTAACGGTCATCTAAGAAACTTGTGGTAGTTGATTCCAGCTAGTTCTTCGGTTGTTTTCTAAACTGTTAATTTTCTCATGTATTGTGAAGCTATGCAAAGTAAGTGCAGTCAGTGCTTTTTTATTTATAAAGGCAATGTGTCTATGATATGCGTACCGCTAGGGGGACACTGGGCGGACTCCTGGGGACTCTAGTGGTTTCTACAGACCTGGGAATGGCCTCAACTCCACTGCCTAAGGACACTGGGAGAAGATGAGGTGGGAAGGGGATGTGAGGAGGCTGGGTGGACCACAAGGCAGTATTAAGAGGGACTCAAAGTGACCAAGAACTTAAAGCCTATAGCCCAGGCACTGGATGTGTGTTTCACAGGGAATATGTTATTTATTATGTACAGCAGTAGATAAATCAACTACTGATAGAAACTAAGGCTTAGACAAATGTAAGACATATTGCCCAAAGTCACACAGTTGGAATGTGGTGAATCCTGTCTAGGAACAAATCTGAGTCCAAAGTCAAGTTCTAAGCCTTACTCAATTCTGGAGGCTCTGCTCCACAGCAGGGGCTGGGGATTTAGCTAAGCAGCATAAGCACCTGCCTTACAAGAACGTGGTCATGAGTTTGATCCCTGGTACAAAAAAAAAAGCCCTACCACAAAGAAGACATGGCCTCTGGACTACATCTAAACTCTTAGCAGAGATCCTACCTGTGACTCACATAACAAGCCTCTATGGATCTCTAGTTCCATTTAAAACAGTGTTTTCTAATTGACTGTGAAATGAATTTGATGTAATATGTAATAAAAACACATATATAACAGAGTAAATGTAAAATGTTACAGTGTAGCCGGGCCTGGTGATGCATGCCTGTTGTCCTAGCTACTTGGCAGGCTGAGCCAGGAGGATCACAAATTTGAGGCCAGCCTGGGCAATTTATCAATACCATTTCCAAATTAAAAACTGCTAAGAAAATATTAATAAGAAAATAGGGGCTGAGGGGCTGAGGATTTAGCTCAGCGGCATAAGTGCCTGCCTTGCAAGCAGGCAGTCGTGAGTTCGATCCCCGGTACCGATAAAAAGGACAAAGACAAAAAAAAAAAAAAAAAAGAAAAGAAAATAAGGGCTGGGTTGTGTAACTCAGTGGTAGAGCACTTACATAGCATGTGCAAGATCCTTGACTCAATCCTCAGTACTTCAAAAATACTAAATAAAGAATACCAGTGAAGGGGCTGGGGATTTAGCTCAGTGGCATAAGCGCCTGCCTTGCAATTAGGCAGTCATGAGTTCGATCCCTGGTACCGATAAAAAGGAAAAAAGACAAAAAAAAAAAAAAAAAAAAAGAATACCAGTGGAGAAACCAGTGGAGAACAAGAGGACTCCACTGGCCCTGAACTTCTAAGGACAAATGACATCTGTTTCTAGAAAACAAAAGCACCCTTTCAAATGCTGCAAGCTTTCATCGGGCTCTGCCCTGGGCTCTGTCTTCCCCACCTGAAAGTACGGCACATACAAGCAGGAGCAGTTTTCCAGTGCTTCCTTTTCTTGTTCTGACTTACTTCCCCTGGCACGTCTTCAGAAATGTAGTTAATCCTACAGAATCTTAAAGGGCAGACAGAATCCAGAGCTGAGCTCTTTGGGGTCTGCATAAAGCACTTTAGGTGATCACGCTGGTGTCTCCCGTAGAAAAATCCATTAGTGAGGCTGCAGCTGTGTTGCTGGAACGCTTCCCTGTGAGTCCATAATGCGACACCAAGGGGCTGCGAGCGTGCTCTGCCTCCAGCAAATGCAGGGAGGCAAGTCCTTCCCCACATGTGCTGCAATCAAGCCCTATTCAGACCAGAAGGTCAAGTGACCTTGAGTGCCTCTGGAAAGGCACTGCTGCTGCCTGGAAGGTTCTTGCCAGAACTGTACTAGTAACTTTTAATTAAAGATTATTCAAAAGCTAGTGTAAAGCAGCTGTTTTTTTAAAAAAGAAATTTCATTTCTCACATTTATAGTCATACCCAGAAAGTAGTACCCATGGGCCTAGCACAAGTAAGGGCCTAGGCCTGCCCACAGGCTTCAGGACAATTCTAGCCCCTAGGACAGGCCCCAAACCTGGTCTGCAGTGTTTGGTTCTCAAGGTCCAGGTAATGGTGGGGCCTTGCCAAGTCACTAAGAGAATCATTTTTAAAGCCTTTATCTGCTACCAAGGGAAAGGCTGGATTATACATACTGTCATTTGGTCTAAAACCCTAATTATACACAAACCCTCAAGTGCTGTTTTTTTTCTTTCTTTTTGTAGTACATGATAATTACACTCACTGTAGGAGCTGGCAAACGTACATAAACATCTTAATTCTTTTTATGTCCCCTTTCCCTCTCCCCTAATTGGTTTTCAAACTACCTACTTTGGAACCCTCAGGGTTTCCTGTAGATGCTGGAAACAAGGGGATAATCAAGCAAATAGTTCTGAGCCCTCCATGCAGCTTTTAATGAAAATCACATCACTTTTCTCTTTTACATGTTGCAAGAACTGAAGAGCATCTCTCTTTTTTCCCAGTTATTTTTTGTGATAGGTTCCCCAAAGCAGGTGTTCCCAGGTTGATAAACCAACTGTTCCATTCAAGTCACAAACCCTCATATACATACTTCTGTGTTCTTAATGGGATTAGACAAGGTGCTAGAACATCTGATTGAAGTTAAAAAAGAAAACATCAAAGCTCTTAAAACTCTAAGATATCAAAAAACTCAATTTCTATATCCAAGAGTTTTTTTTAGAGGCAAAACAATTCTCTACCAATTACTGCACTAACAAGGGAAAATTCTAAAGGTTCTTTTTCCCTGTACTTTGCCTTTCTCCTCACACTGCCAGACTACCTTCCATGTGGTATTTTGGCAGTCACCAAACTTACTTCCTCTGCCGTGTCCTTCTCCAGACGAACTATCTTGTTTTCCCAGTAGATTCGCTGAGATTCCAGTTGGCTTGTTAGTAAATATGAATACTGGAAATAGAGAATAAATGTAAGTCACTGTTGTTGGTCTATGAGATCCAAATAAGTCTGATCTTTAATGATTTATAGAAGAATAAATATATGCACCAGAACGTACTTTTTTTGTTTTTGTTTAGGAGGCAGGGTCTTGCTATATTGCTCAAGTTGGTCTCAAACTCCTGGGCTCATGTGATCCTGCCAACTTGGACTCTGGAGTGGCTTGGAACTACAGAAGTGGATCACCCTTCTTAGCTCATCATAATGTATGTTAAAACCTGAGGGTGGTGACACATGCCTGTAATCCCAGCATTTAGGGAGGCTGAGGGAGAAGAACTGCAAGTTTGCCCGGGTAACTTAACAAGATCCTATTCACCAAATAAAAAAAGGGCCTGGGATGTTTCTCCATGGTACAGCACCTCTGGGTTTGATCTCCATTATGCCCCTCCACACACTAAGGGATGTATGTATGTCACACCTGAGTTCTACTCTACTCAACAGGCACTGGACCAAGGAACACAGGATGACAACTACACTCCTGCCCCTGCCTCTCTGGGGTTTAAAATCTAATTGGGAAGAACAAAATATATATATATTATATATATACAAAAATGTACACTGGTCTGGCTGATTTTAAAAAGAACCCAGTGGTTTTAGATCTATATGCTGGGGTGTGGTTCAGCGGTAGAGGATATGCTCAGAACACACATGGCTCTAGTTCAATCTCGAGCACTACAAAAAAGGAAATCTGTATACAACTCAAACCAACTTATCCACCTATCCACGCTAGGGTAAAGCTCCTCTTCGGGGTTTCCTTGGCACTATGCCCAGCAGCAGCAGCATTATGATACTATACACGAATGACCAGACAATGCTGTAACTACGGGGAAGCAACAGATGGCTTATGGCAGTAGATCTGGTAGAACTTCTGACAGGGCTCTTGACAGACAGGAGACAAATAATCACACAGCTCTTATTCCAGAGGACCTCTGGACCAAGTCAGAGCTGTGAATGTTTAGGATCTCTTCAGCGATGAAGAAGGAACACCAGTGAAGTGGAGGAGTACCGTCTAGAGAGACAGGGCCTATGGAAAGCTATAGGGTGATATATTGAGAACTATGAGTGAAGGAGAATTCAAGACCAAGCAGTAGTAAAATCACAATCCCATTTGGAAAGACCATTCTTGAAGAAGGGACCTGATTTGTAGGCTAGAGGGGAGAGACAATTAGGAAAATGTCTGTGCTACTAGACTACATGGTAGGGAGTCGGCTCCATGCTGCAGTTGCAACACCAGAAACAGTGGCTAAAAGACAGCAAATAGTTCTCTCTCCTGTCTCCTGCACGCCACCCCTCTCACACTAGGAACTGAACTCACAGAACACTAAGGTACGTCCCCAGTCCCTTTTTTTTTTGTCTTTTTCTTTTTTATCAGAACCAGGGATCGAACTCACGACCACACACTTGCAAGACAGGCGCTTATGCCATTGAGCTAAATCCCCAGCCCCCCCACCTTTTGTTTTTTGAGACAGGGTCTTGCTAAATTGCCCAGGTTGGCCTTGAACGTGTGCTCCTCCTGCCTCAGTAAAACAATCTTTTTCAAAATCTACAAAACAAAGGACTTGTTTGAAACTTCCTGTTCGTTAACACAGAATTTATGACAGTTTTAGGACTTACTGCTATGGAGAAAAACCAAATTGTGCAAGTTTTGTTTCTTCCAATACATTCATACTCAAAAATGAGTTTAAGTATATGTCTCTAATTCATAAAATATACTTTGAGGGCCGGAGATAGAGCTCAGGGGCATAAGCGCCTGCCTGGCAAGTGTGAGGTCCTGAGTTCAATTCTTGGTACTGTACCAAAAAAATAAAAATAAAAAATAAAAAATAAAATAAAATATATATATATATACACACACACACACACATTTACATTTACATATATAAGCCTCTGATTCATAAAGTGCCAGCCCAGAGTATGTACCCAATAATTCCTCCAGGGATAGAAAGACGCTATGGGCTTTTTCTACTCAGTTTCCAGTTGTCAGTGTGATGCTGACAGAAATGTTTTCATATTTGATTTTACTGCAGCTATGGAAGGTACCTTTATTGTCTTAAGTACCCTGAATTTGACATAATTAGGAATGTCACATTGAAAATAATAAAAGCACAATGAAGCTTAGACTTTCTTTTCTGTTTTTTGTTTTTTGAGACTGAATCTCATTATGCAGTTCAGGCTGGTCTTGAACTTACTATGTAGCCCAGGATAGCTCTGAACTCAGTGATGTTCCTGTCTCAGCCTCCCAAGTGGCAGGATAACAGGGATGTCTGGCTGAAGTTTAGACTTTCAAAAAAGAAAACAGACAAAATCATTCTTCAATGGTGGATTTTTTTAAAGTTTATATGTAGGGTAAATAGCAAAACTAAAAGGTCAAACAGCTTTTTCAGTTAGAAAAGTAAAAGGAGTAGAAACAGAACAGGCACTGAGGGATAACTAGTAAGCATCTTACCTCTAATTGTAAGGCATCTATCTTCTCTTCCTGGCAAGTGTCACCCTCACATTCATACTGTACTATTTTTCCATCTGTTTTACTTGCGACCAGTCGGTGGACATAATTATCTAAAGAAAAGAACAAGCTGATCAAAGCTCATGTTTCTTCAGAATGAAAAAGGCTGCTGTGTTTTTTGTTTGATTTGAGAAAGAGTCCCGCTATGTGGTTCAGGCTGGCCTTGAACTCAAAGCAATCCTTCTGCCTCAAGTCTGCCCAGTGCTGCGATTACAAGGGTGTGCCACTACACCCAGGGTGCCTGTGCTTTTTTGCTTTTTGAGACAGGGTGGTCTTACATAGTTCAGGCTGGCTCTAACCTTACTATGTAGTCCATGCTGGCCTCCAACTTGTGGTGATCTTCCTGCCTCAGCCTCCAGAGTGCTAGGATTATAGGCATGTGCCATCACACCCTGGTCCATGCCATGTGGTTTTTATTTTATTTTTTTTTATCAGTACCAGGATCGAACTCACGACTGCACGCTTACAAGGCAGGCGCTCATGCCACTGAGCTAAATCCCCAGCCCCAATGCCATGTGTTTTTAATTCTAACAGAAATTTTGTTTTCATACATTTAAATTTCTTTGAAAGTAGGTCAAATCATTTGAATTTTAAAGAGAGTGAGAAATCAACAGTGGAAGTACGAACTCTTTATAATGTGCAATTACAGTACTTCCTAGGAAACGGTGCCTTCCGGGGCACTGTTAGAATTAAAAGTTTTCAATAGCTGTTAGGAAGATGACAGGTCATGCTATGAGATAAAGTGGAGAGGTTCTGGAGGAGGAAAAGTTTCTCTACGGAATGAATCCAAGTTAGAAAATGAACAGCGTTCACCTCCAGCATAGTCCCAGACTCGGTGGTTGGTGAGCTGCATGGCGTAGGTGTGCTGTGTTTCCTCAAAGTGCTTATATGCATGTCGACTCACATACCGTCCACATCCTATGTGGCCACAGATGAGACAAATCCAAAGGTTCTGCAGAGGAGGTAAGATCTTAATTAGTCAAGTAAAAGCCTACAACCTGGCCCACATGGCATGGGAAGCGGATGACAAAGAACAGACAGACTTAAGAGTTTTTGTATAGGACTTAAATAAGTAGGTTTAAGATCCAATAACCAAAGATGCTTTTATGGGTCATTTTCTCTCATTTCTACAAAACGTTAGGTTAAATGGGAAGAAAAAAACATTCACAATATGTCAATAAAAGTCTAAGTCTTTTAAAAGAACAGAGAACAAAACCAAAATATCTTGCTTAGGAATAACACAACTATACATTTGTATGTCTTGTCTGATGCCAGGCATTAAGAAAAAATAAACAAAAAAGAAAAAATACCACTCAGAAAGAATTTAAATCACACTAGACAGAAGAAAATCCTAAAGTTGTGTTCACTGTTATTGCCAACACCCATGACTTACTTCCTGAACACCACACTCAAAACATTTATTTTCTTCTACTGGCTCTGGGGTTTGACAGTATCGGCAAACAGGACACCTATTCAGGACACCAAAGACAATGGTTCTGATTAGATATAGAAGAACTCAAAAGCAAAAAAGCATTAAAAGAAAATGTTCAGTGTCTAGTATTTATGTGCCTACCCCAGTATGTGACACATAAAAGTCACTTGCTAAATATTTTAAACAGGCAGATTTTTTGGGAGAGAGGTGCTAGGGATCGACCCCTTGGTTGCATGCTAGGTAATGCTCTAGGATTTTAGGCCAGGTGTGGTACATGTCTATAATTCTAGCAATCAGGAAGCTGAGGCAGAAGGAACATTGTAAATTCAAACCAGCCTGGGCTACAAAGTGAGCTCAAGGCCAGCCTGCATTGCATAGCAAGACACTGTCTCAAGAAGATAAAAAACAAAACAAAACAACCTCAAAAAACAAAAAACTGGACTTTATATACTCTTCACTTAAATGCCTTTCTTTTCTTTTGGTTGCTCTGGGGATTGAATCTAGTGCCTTTGCACTGAGCTATTTCCTCACGCCTTTTCATTTTTTGTGACAGGGTCTAAATTGTTAAATTGCCCAGATTGGCTTTGAACTTATGATCTTCCTCCTTCAGCTTCCTACTTTGTTTTTGTTTTGTTTTGTTTTTTGAGACAGGCTCTCACTATGTGGTTCAGGCTGGCCTTGAACTCATGGCTATCCTCCTGTCAACCTCCTGAGTCTTTGGGGTTATAGGCATGCACCACTATCCCAGACTATCAACTTTTTTTTTTTAAAAGAGGATGTCAATTAAACTAAACACACATGACATTCTGCTTAACAATGAAGAGCATAGTGAAGATCCAGTGCTCTATAACTTTGCAAGTTTAGATTTATGAAGAACAAAAAAACAAAACAAAACCCAACAAGTTACACATGGTGGCACAAACCTATAACCTCAGCACACTGGGAGCCAGAGACAAGAGCATCACACGTTCAAGGGCAGCTAGGGCCACTTATTTAGCAAGATTCTGCCTCAAAGTACAAAAAAGAAAAAAGGCTGATGATGTAGTAAAATACAAAGGCCCTGGTTCAATCCCTAGTACCAGGGGGGAAAAAGTCAGTAATAGGACAATGAAAAAAAAAAAAAATCAATGAATCCTTTCCTATTAGTCAAAACAAAGTAATGCAACTCAGTGCTAGCCATGAATATATTTTATCAGATGGGCAAACAGAAAGTGGGGTACATTTGAGACTAACTAAATTGGCACCAACAAAGAAAGTTCCAGGTACATCTAATGTCAAGCTGCTACCTAGCTAAGTCAGAAAAAGGAAGGAAATAAGAGAGAATACTAAGTTTTTGCACAGGTAAGCAGGCTCTGAGTTTCCAATGAGAAAGCTAACGGATCCAGTTTGTCTCTTTTATAACAAATCCCACTCGCCCAATGAGAGCAGAGGCCATGCCTCACATGCCACATGAGGGGCATGACACGGAGCAAGGCAGGCAAGGTCCTTGCTCAGTGGCAGCTGAGTGAACAGGGATTCCGTGGACTTTCTCCACTCCCAACTTCTGACTCCCGTGTGTGGCCTGTGCATGCACTCCCCTCCCCACAGTGCAGGCATGGGCTTCTGTGTACGGTAAGTGACAGTCCCTGCACTCACGTGGTGTCGTCCCAGCGCTGTAGACACTGGCTGTGGAAGCTGTGGTTACACAGTGTGGTGAGAATTCCATTCACAGACTCATCCATGCGCTCCAGACAAACTGTGCACTTGGGGAGCTCAGTCAGGTCCATCACTGGCAGACTCGCGCCCTGCAGGGAGACACTGGTGCAGTGAGCCTCACTGTGCATCCCTCAGCCATCTCTTCTTTCCCTCTTCACTCTTTTTTTTTTTTAATTGGTACTGGGGATCAAACTCATGACCGCCTGCTTGCAAGGCAGGTGCTTATGCCACTGAGCTAAATCCCCAGCCTCACTTTTTTCCCGAGTTTTCTTGTTCACTCCTAATAGGATGTTCTCAACATCACAGCTCTATGCAGATAATTAAGCACTGTGCTGGGCACTGAGAATACATGAGTGAACAGTGGAGACAGGAATTCCTGCCCTCACGGACCTGACATCCTAGGAACAGACTGCTGTTAAAATGCTGACAAACTGCTTTGCAATGGAACCACATTCCAAATTCTAGCTCCAAACGTGTGATTGTAATACGACCCAGTGGAACAAAACGAGCAGAACAGCAATGGATCTGTATGATTCTTCCAGAGTAAATCATAATCTACTCAATGATAGTACTACCATCTACACTCATTCATTTATTCATGCATTTAGCACATACTTCCTGAGTCCTTGCTATGTAAATAACATACTGTTTAAGGAGTTAAACAAAAGTGAACAAAAACCAGATTCCAGAAAGTTCGCAGGAATTACTTATATGAAGGTATACACATAAAGACAAACATAAAGTCAGGCATGGTGGCACACAACTTTAACCCCAGAACTCTGGGAAGCTGAGGCAGGAGGATTAAAAATTCAAGCCCAGTAAGTTAGTAAGATCCTCTCTCAAAATAAAATGGTCTAGAGATGTAGCTTAGTGCAAAGGTCCTGGGTTCAACATCCAGTACTATGAAAGGGGAAAAGAGAGACTTGAGATGTAGCCTAGTGGTACAGGATTGCCTAGCCTACTGGGTTCAATCCCCAGTACTACAAAAAATAATCAAAAACAAAACAAAACAAATGAGCTGGGCATGATAGCACATACTTGTAATCCCAGCCCTCAGAAGGCTGAGGCAGAAGGATCACTGTGAGTTTAAGGCTTGCCTGAGCTACACAGTGAGTTCAAGGCCAACCTGAGCTACAGAGTGAGACATTTCAAAAAACTAAAGTAAATAAAAAATTTAAAAAGTAGACTTAGTGATCTTTTTACCTTGAAATCAGCTTGGAAATAAATTCTACTTTAATTGTTCTATTGTTTGATTAGGAAAATAAAATATGAAGAATGATATGATTGAGTGTTTTTTCTGCCAAGTTCTACTGCACGAGGTCACTATTTTGAGGTTCTTTTCTTAAAATGTGTATGGCTTGTGGAGAAATTTCCTATAAAAATCTTCAGGGATTTTTAAAATAGAGAATTAGTGTGCTGCTTCTGTTTGTTCAAAGACAGTGTCTACTTTAAAAGGCAATCTTAAAATTCTCATAGAGCTGAATCTGCTATTTTATAAAATCATTTGAAAGAGCACATGTTGGGGCTGGGGGTTTAGCTCAGCAGCATAAGTGCCTGCCTTGCAAGCAGGCAGTCGTGAGTTCGATCCCTGGTACCGATAAAAAAAAAAAAGAGAGAAAAAAAAAGAAAGCACTTGTTGAAGGGAGGATTTCTACCCAGGTTGCAGATCAGAGCAATGGCAAATCATAAGCAAAGCAGAATTAATGATTAGAAGGAAGATTAAGAGTTAATATTGCCAAAAAAAAAAAAAATTCAGCTCTAGGCAATGTTTCATTGCTTTGAAATAGATGAACCCTCAATTTCAACACTGTAGTTTTTTTTTTTAAGTATTTTAAAGTATTTCTGAAATGTAAAAATTGAGGTAAAAGTTATACTATATGAAATTCTCTCTCTCTCTCTCTTTTTTTTTTTTTTGGTGCCGAGGATCGAATTCACGACCTCACATTTCCAAGCAGGCTAAACCCTGCCCGAAATTCTCTATTTTAAAGCATTCAACTGAAAGCATACAAGTCCTTAGAACAACTGTCACCCCATCTAATTCTAGAACTCTTCCACACCCTACACAACAAGGCCCACAGCTGTCAGCAGTCATTCTTCCTTCTTCCCTTCCCCAGCCCTTGGCAGCCACTCATCTACTCTGGCTCTACAATTTGGCCTACTCTGGACATGTCCATGGCTGTTCTAACAACCAATTTTATACTGATCTGATATATTTGTAATCAACATAAGAAGCATTCACACTTACATCTTCCGATTTCAGTACTTCAGCCCTTTCCACATAGACCAGCTGGCACACGTCATCTTCTATGGAGTTGAACTGGCGGCCATTGCATGCCATATAAAAACTATCTGCATCGGCCTGTGTACATCAGTGGGGAAGAGGAAACAAGACAGACAGACTGAAAATTGGCTTCATATTCAAGATGCACAGCTTCCATTATTCTCATTAGCTTTGTAAATCTATACGTAGGAAACAAAGTAACTGCCAGAAAAGTAACATCTACTGAAGGCTGCTGGTGAGCTGATCAAACTGCCGGGCAGGCTCCAGCATTTTGGCAATGTTTCCTGGGCTATGTGAGTTTTGACGTGAACTGGCAAAAGGGGTACAGAGGATGAAAGGCAGTACAATTTAATATTCAACCAGTGGCAGTGAACGTCTCCCTGGATAGGTTTTTCTCCTCTAGTCTTCTCTGTTGCAGCAGCTGAGAAAACATACTTCTGCAAAGCTTGTAACCAAATCATAACTAATCACTGCTATGGAAGAATTCTTTCAGAAAATAATCAGCATTCATTTTAAAAAATAAAACGGACCAAAAAAAAAAAAAAAAAAAAAAGAGCAGCCAGCATGGGGTAAAAACCCCTCTTTTTCTTTTCTTTCTTTCTTTCTTTTTTTTTTTTTTTTGTATCAAGAATTGAACTTAGGACATTGTGCTTGACAGGAAGGCACTTATGCTGCTGAGCTACATCCTGGGGCCAACCCCACTCTTACTCAATAAACCAAATATACACGACATAACACAGGATATAAATAATGTATGACAGTTCCATAAGAATCCCATCAAGTGTCCAAAATAAACCAGTTTTTAAAATACTACCAGCTACCAGCAGGGCATTATGCCACAGGTCTGTAATCCTAGAGTGTGGGAGGCTGAGAGGAGAGGAGCACTATGAGTTCAAGGGCAACCTGAGTTACATAGTGACTTTTTTTTTTTGTATCAGGAATTGAACTCAGGACCTTGTGCTTGCCAGGCAGGCACTTGTGCCACTGAGCTATTTACCTGATCATACACAGTGACCTCAAGGCCAGTCAGAACCACAGAGTAAGACCCTGTCTCAAAAAACCAAACCACTAAAGAAAAAACCAAAATAAAAAACTAATAGTCACATTCTTCACAAGGGAAGATGGACAAACAGAAGCAGATTCCTTTAGGTTAACTTGTAAAAAGTACATGTGCACATATGAATAAGGACACCGGTAAAATCAAACCTTCTAACATAGGTTTAGCAGACAGCAAAAAATAATTCCAGTTTTTAAATTCAGTTTTTTTAGGTGGCAGAGAGGCCAAGGCTTGTCTGGATTTCTTTCTTCCACATAGGCATTAGCCCAGGGGCTGGGGATTTAGCTCAGCGCATAAGCGCCTGCCTTGCAAGCAGGCAGTCGTGAGTTCGATCCCGGTACCGATAAAAAGGAAAAAGACAAAAAACAAAACAAAACATAAGCATTAGCCCAAACATAGAAAGTTGTATGCTTTGGCCCTAGTGATGTAGACAAGCTGCTTGGGGTAGAGGGAAGAGTGATTCTGCTGTGTGTCAGCTTCCACGGGAAGAGATCCAAGGCTGCCCCAGGCAATGAGTCTTGAATAACTTTCGTCACAGGGTTCTGAATTTCCCTGCCACCTTAAGCTTCTCAAGCAACTTACCCTCCCATGATGTAATCCAAATGTAGATTTTTGATTACTTATGCTTTCTTAATCTGACCAAGTAAGCTATGCAGCTGAGGAAGAACAATCAATTCTGAATGTGGTAGTTTTACTGGGAGAGGAGATGGAGGACTTTCTTGAAGGAAACATTCTGTGTACTGTGCATTTTAAATTCAAAATGTGTACAACTTAATTATTAGATAATAAACTTAGTTGTTAGATAATACTAAGAAGAGGTAACCTAAAGTAGCTTACTCCATTGTTTTAGAGCAATGGCTTTTTCTTGAAACACCACTGGCTGAATGAGTGACACAGGCAGCTCAAGGTGTCCCTCGCTGTGGAAGCTACCTACATGGATGGTGGGCTTGGCTCAGCTCTTGCAGGTCCCCAGCATTACCATGAGCTGGGGCAGCCCCAAGAGAAGGCAGATTCCTGTTTAGATCTGGAGTTTTGCAAATACTCACCAAGTGCCTGGGCCTCAGAGAAAGAGACAAGGCATGTGACCAAATCCATTCAACACCAAATTATGCTTTCATCTGTGCCAAAGAAATGCACTTTAAAATAAAAACTGATAACTTCTATACAGCTGAGACCTCCAAACTGAGCACACTAGTGTCTTCTTTAAAGTGTTATTATTAGAGCTAGGTGAGGTGGTGCAGGCCTGCAAACATAGTAGTGGGAAGACTAAAGCAAGTCATTATTATAAAAATAGCTTTATTTGTTCAATTTTTGTGTGTATATGTGGTGTGGGGATTGAACCCAGGGCCTTCACAGTTTTTGAATTCCAGCTCTTATTTTTTGTGGCAAGATCTTGCTAAATTGCCAAATTCCCAGCGTGGGCTGGAACTTTCAATCCTCCTGCCTCAGCCACTCAGAGTGCTACAACTGCAGGTACCACCATCGCACCTGGCTTACTTTTCAAATATTTCCTGAGCACCTACTAAGGGCCAGTACTGGGGTCTTCACTAAGAAGAAAGGAGAAAACAAAATATAGGGTTTCTTCTTCAACTCATACACTGCAAAGAACACAAAAACAACTTTTAGATAAAAAAATGTCTGCACTGTATGGAGTAAGATTTAAGGAAAAGGCAGCTGTCTTCTCCCAGCCTTTTGTTCTTGTTGTATTCTTTAGAGGCTAAATTCACAAAAAGAAATATCCATTATGATCAGGGTTGCTCTACTGTCACAGCAATCAGCAGTAGTGTTGGGAATATATTTATATTCTCTAAATGGTTTTCTGTATTGTCCTATCCAAACAGGTGAGTAAAAACAAGACAACACAATATTGAGGGGTTATTTGTCTTTATTTTAAATCCCAAGAATAATAAATTATAAATTCCTTACTCAAAGACCAGGTTTCCTAAAGTTTATACTACAAAATTTTTTTTCGAGGTGGGGGAGTGATTTTGTGTTTAAGAACTGGCTTTTGTTAAGTAGCTCAGGCTGGCTTTGAACTCATTATGTAGCTGAGGCTGGCCTCAAACTGTCTTCAATCATCTCGCCTCAGCCTCCCATCTTGCCCAGCTACCTGCTGGGATTCCAGGTGTGTAGCATCACACCTAACACACTATTACAAATTTGTAAGCACATCTCTTTATAAGACCTTCACATAAAGCTAACGCCATCCGAAACTCAAGAGACTGCAAAAGATACGGTTTATGAATTATTAAAAATTCTATGGTAATAAAAAGAACAGAGTAATATGCCCCAGATAGTCAGGCTACCTGGGTCAGAATCCTGAACCTGACACTTCTTGTCTAACAACTTTGGTTAGTGACTTATCTATGCCTATTTCCTCAACTACAAATAAATGGAAAGTACCAACATCTGTCTTGTGCCATTGCTAAAAGAATTCAAAGAGCTAATAAACGAAAAGCACATGGAAGAGAGTCTGGTATCTAAGTGCTCAACAGTCAATTGAGCTATTGAGTCTATTATTCTCATTAGAGCCTAGTAGTAATTTAACAACTTCAGAACTTAAGGTAAAAGGTTGTGAGTCTTTGATAGGATGAGCTTTGACAGGATGATAAGGATCAGAACCTAAGATTCAAGAGTAGCCATACAACTCAAAACAAAACAACCAAGAGAAAAGTCAGTGTCTCCAAGAATTGGCTATGCTGGGACTTGGGGGGCCAACCAAGAAATCAACCAGCCAGCCTTCGTGATAAGCTGCATAAACCGCACCTTCCAGGGAGAGAAAAGTCAGATACTGCCTCCAGTGGGCTGAGAATCAATCACCGCCTATATTCCCTCACCACCACCCAAGAAACCAGACAGTTCTGAGGTCAGCCTGAGTTGACAGCAGCTAAGGTACATAAAGCAACTAAATGCTTGTATTGTTTGATGATTACGCATGCTTGGGCCCAGCGATCTGAGCATCTCTTGGGAGGATGATAGTACACAATATAACAAATATGGGGAAATTCTCTTCTACCTTATCTTTGAAGTCAAATATTGTTTTCACTGTTTTGCTTTGTTCTAATTAACTGTTTTGCTTTATTCAGTTTTCTGTTTTGATTTGTTTTATAGTGTTTTGTTTTTGGTTTGATTTTGCTATACCTGATGGAATGGACAACTGTTGTGAAGATAACAAGAAATTCTATGGAAGCTATCACTATTTTCCCAGTATCCTGCTTTGAAGTTTTGTACCAATTCTGCTGCACTGTTTTGATTGGCTTTGTTCTGTCTTGTTTTGTTGGATTTTACTCTTTAAAATTAAAAAAAAAAAAAAAAAAAAAAAAAAAAAGATAGAAGTGGAAAGGTTAGTGTAGACATACAAAAAAAAAAAAAAAAAAAAAAAAAATCTACCAAGAGCAATTAAAAGCATTCCTGGTATCATCTGCTCATGAAGTGTGGCACCAGCTATAGGGGAGCTTTGGTTTACGAAATAGGTTAGTGTGGTGGGTTTATTAGACTTCAGACAATTTGAAAATCCTATACACCTTTTTCCCCCTTGTATGGGGGACTGAACCCAAGGCCTTTGCATTGATCTAAATCCCCAGCCCTTTTTTATTTTTTATTTTGAGAAAGGGTCTTGCTAGGTTGCTTGGACTGGGCTTGAACTTGAGTTCCTCTTGCCCTAGCCTCTCAGAGTGTGGGATTACAGATGTGTGCCATCATGCTCAATTTCTAATACTATACATTCTTTTTTTTTTTTTTTTGAGACAGGGTCTCACTATAGAGCCCAGGCTGGCCTCCAACTTGTATTGATCCCTCCTGCCTCAATCTCCCAAGTGCTGGAATTACAGGCATACACCACCATAGCTGGCTAATTATCACCATTATTATTATTATCACATGTGCTACCAAGTTTAAGGTGTCACTTTCCATAACTTCAAAAGGTCTCAGAGAACTCAGAAGGCCTGTTGACAGGAGTTAAGTGCTTTGCTGTCCTCACTGTTAAATTGTGAAGTCTAAGTCTACAGGATAGTTAAAATACATTTTAAATGTTCCCCTCAGGGGCTGGGGATTTAGCTCAGTGGCATAAGTGCCTGTCTTGGAAGCAGGCAGTCGTGAGTTCGATCCCTGGTACCAATAAAAAGGAAAAAGACAAAAAAAAAAAAAAAAAGTCCCCCTCAATGATAGAGTTCGTGAAGGTAAGAAATATGTGCCCTCTTGTACACAGAACTCCACGCTGAAGGGGCCTATGGAACAGATTAAAAATATATTGCAACTGTCATTTCTTTTGATTTCCTTTAAAACACATTTAGCGACTGCCACTGCTATCAGTGCTGGAATTCTATAGTGAGGAAGGACAGAGCCAGTAGGCATGTGTCATGGGCTCTTAACTGGTCAGAGGCAATAGTACATGATCTCAGCAACATATCAGGCCGCTAATCACCAAGTAGGAGCTACTTATCTGGACGAAATTCAGGAGGCCATTTATCACTGATAGAAGACAGAAATTAACTCACAACAAAACTGTACTTCAAAACCTAAAGAAAGCTGGGCATGGTGGCACATGCCTGTAATTCTAGCATTCAGGAGGCTGAGGGAGGGAAGATCACTGCAAGGCTGGGATTAACCTGGCTTATACCGAGTTTAAGGTCAGCCTGAACCATACAGTGAGACCCTTCCTAAAAACAAAAACCCAAACTACAGAAATTCCAACGGACATGTACAATAAGCTGTTAACAGAGAAAATATAAACTGAATGAATCTAAGAATAACTGAATACCTAAAGCTTATTCATATAGAAACATGCATGCTCAAAAAGAACATAGGCAAAACCAACAGGATATCTTTCTAATATCTTTATAACACTGATTCATAAATTGCTGCCTAATGCAATGAATGAAATGGAGGGGATGGTAAGTCCTTTCTGCAGCAAATAGTAACTGTTATAATGTACAAGCATCTTCAAAATTGAAAATAAAAACCAAAAAAACTGAAAATAACGCCATTCTTCCAGTCTCCCTACTGCAGTAATTTCCAATCAGGACACTAAAGCACTTTTAACGCTTCAAAGAATGTCACAAAATAGCTCTTTATTACCAAAAAAAAAAAAAAAAAAAAAAGATTTTCTAAAATGTGTCAAAGAGAGCTGAGCGTGGTGGCTTACGCCTGTAATCCCAGCCCTCAGGAGGCTGAGGTGGGAGGATCATTGTGCACCAGACCAGCCTGGGCTACAAAGTGAGCTCAAGGTCAGCCTGAACTGCATAGCAAGACCTCATCTCAAAAAAGACAAAAAAAAAAAAAAAAAAAAAAAGTGTTAAAGGGGACCTTGTAAAAAGAGAATGAAAGAGGTATAGGTAATGGTAAATAATATGACAGTGTCAACTTTCAAAAGGTTTGGGAATTACTGCTTTACTAGTATAGTAACCACTGGATAAACAAAACCTCAGATTTCATATCCACTAATGCATTAAGTGATGCTTTAAGAACTCACAGGTATGAATAACAGTTTTACTTCTGCTAATGAGTTAAAAAAATCCATCTATGGTTACAAGAGTACCCTAGAAGATACATGTCAAGAACCTTATGTGCAAAACACTATAAATCACATACTGCTAATATCATACAATTTCAAAATGACAGTTTCTGTGGCAAAGAGATTTTTAATATCTTAACTTTTACCTGTGCACTAAACTTTATCAGCACCATATATTGATTTGGAGTAGAGTCTCTGATGATTTTCATTTGTTCAATTACTTCATTAAATGGGGCGACAAACTTCATAAGGTCATGACTGGTCATTGTAGCAGGGACTGTGAGAATACACAGCATGGCACTGCGCCTCACATCTTCTTTTAAGGAGGTCATCTTACTAATAAGACAATAATTAGACTGTCTTGAATAGATGTGGTATGGTTAGTTCAGATAACACTAAGCAGGTTAACTTTTATGTCCAAGAACGTTGGAAAAATACAACTTGTAATACTTCACAAAATTTAAAATCTTGTCATTTTGCTTGAAATACACATTACATAAATAAATGCAAAATCCCCAAACATATCTTCCGTGGACGCTAAGACAAAGTTTAAAATGTTCTATATTACACCCCTACTAGAATTTCCAATCTTCAGATAAAGGCTTGTTAGTGTCATAAATTAGTACTAGGATAATTCAAAGTTTGTGTTTTATTTAATTATTTTCAGAATAATAATCTGTTGTTGAGAAATTCATTTCTAGCTGTGGACTTCTTGCCAAGGGTTTAGATGAAAATAAGAGAGCTGTAAATCTAGAAAAATTTTAAACCATGAGGATGGGATTAAAGATAACTGTTGCTAAGCTGGAACAGATAAAAGTGGGGGAATGAGAACCTCCCACACAATTCAACTTTTTTACTTTGTTGAGACACAGTTTTTTCCTATGTAGTTCAGGCTGGTCTTGAACTCATTATGTAGCCCAAGATGCCCTCAAACTCTTTTTGATCCTCCTGCATCAGCCTCCTAAAGTGCTGGGATAGTAAGTGTGCACCACCACATCCAGTTTCAATTGCTTTTAAAAATATTACAAATTCACTTGACAGCTATTATGCCAGGAAAGACATAGCCAACAAGTTAGAACAAGGACAGCTTTTAAGATATCAGATACCAATTATCAAGAGGCTGACAGCCCAGCTCGTGGATTACCTAGCCAAATGCTTCCTTTCTTTGTGCCTCTATTAAGCTTTGTATGGATCACAATAAAGTAAGAAACAATAATACCATTATAATAAGTTAACTGACTTCTTAGTTTCTTTAGTAAAGATTTAGTGGGGGTTTGAGACAACAATGATTTTGTGGATCATTTTCTTTGCTTGTTTTTATTGTTCTTCTTTCAACTCCCTCACCACCCATGCCTAAGGGAATATTATCTTTTTTTTAAGGGAATTTGTAAAAAATTTGTACTACATGAGTCTTTCATAAGAAAGAGTTTTGACCCTATCTACAAGATCAAAAGAACATAAAATGTATAAGAATTGCTTCATGCACAGTACATGAAAGGCCAAGAATTTTCTCTATTCCAAGGCAAAAAACAGACCAACCCAAAAGGAAAAAGGTTTTTCTTACTTTGTCTTGTATAGGTGCATTATACCATGAACTATTTCAACTGAAGGATTTCCACTGAAGAATGAAATCTGGTCTGGAAGCTGTTTGGATGGAGAATCAGGAGCTGCATTTATGCATTCTTCATTTTGATCTCTATTTTTCTGCGCAGGGTGAGATGCTTCTGAAGACTCCTTTTCTTCCACTGTATGTTTTAACTCATCTTTCATAAATCAAAAATTAGCACATCATAAACAGTTGGAAATACGCTAAAGGATTCTAATTAGGTTAAAATAAAAGAACAATAAACTGACAGAGAAGTTGTAAAGTATTGCATTAAGAGCTAAACTCACAGAACAGGTGAGCAAGGTTCACCCCAACTTTAAAATGCCTTTTCCCCAATAAAAATCTCAATACTGAGAAACTTAAGGTCGGCTCTTATATACAGTAATACCACAATACAGCGGGAATATTCCATCATGTACACCTAAGTGGGACAGGCATCCCCAGCGACTGCATTTGAAAACCCAACCTACTAGTTCTGACCACTCCCAGAGACACAGAACACAGTCACTGCCTCAATTGGAGTGCAAGGGTAGAGGAGGGGGAGGCATAATATGCTTATTTGGATGCACTTATGATCTGTTGCTGACTTAGGTGGTAAGACGCTCGCCTTCACTGACTATAGTGGCAAATCCAATATGTTAGGATGAATTAACTGATCAACTATATATATATATATATATATATATATATTTTTTTTTTTTTGTTGTTGTTGTTGTTGTTGTTTTGTTTTGTTTTGTTTTTGAGACAAGGTCTTACTATGTTCCCCAGACTGATTCTGGACTCTCAGAGTCAAGTGATCCTCCTGCCTTAGCCTCCTAATGACTTGAATTACACAGGTGCACCATCATGCCTGACTTAGAAGAAACATTTAGAGGAAGAGAAACATGGCTTAGTAAGCATCACATGGGCCAGATGTGATGGTGCATACCTGTAACCCCAGCACTCTGGGGACTGAGGTAAGAGGATCACTGTATGTTCGAAGCCAGCCAAGGCCAGCCTGAACTACATGGTGAGACTTTGTCTCAAAAAAATAATTATTAAGAAAACACAGAACTGAGCCGGGAGTGGTGGCTCACACCTGTAATCCCAACACTCGGGAGGCTGAGGTGAGAGGATCGTTGAGAGTTCGAGACAAGCCTGGGCTATGAAGTGAGCTCAAGGCCAGCCTGAACTGCACAGCAAGACCCCATCTCAAAAAAAAACAAAAAAACCCCCCACAGAACCAAAACAACAAACAAACACATAAAGCACACAGGTGGTGAAAAATAAAAGTATGCTAAAAGTAAACATGATGGGCTCATAAAACAACATAAAACAGGTAATCAGAGGCCTACATTTCAAAGAGAATCCAGGGTTTCAGAGAGAATACCTGCATTGGACTTCATGGTCTCAATGATTACATCTGTCATTTCCCGACGGCCAAGGTGCTGATGGATGATTGCTGCTTTCTCCCCCGGTGACTTCCCTTCTAAACAGGCTACAGCTGAAGCGAGTGTCTTCTTTTTGATCTCCTCATCAGACATCTCCCCGACTAAAAAAAAAAAAAAAGCATTAAAGATTAATACATGGTAATAGACAAGTTCTTCTCCATTCTCATTGCGCCTATGAATAATTTTCCCTTTTCTCTGTGCTCCTCTCCCCACAAAAGGTGACAGCTTTGCAGTACCCATTTCACTCTGAGACTTCTTAAATACCTAAAGAGTCAAAAGACAGCCAGTACAATAAATTCAGAAATGCATGGTCTTTTTCATGAAACCATGCAATGTAAAGTAAATCTACAAATATAGGGCTCTTAAGGAAGGTTCAAAGATGATTATGCCCAGAGGAACTAAAATATTAATCACACCTGATAAACTAAGACTCTGATAATCCCAAAATGAAGGACACAAATCTATTAATAAGCTATGTTGTAAAAAATCTTTAGAAATCATCTTTCTGAAGATCCTGGATTACCCTCACGCTATGGATTAAGCCATGAAACTATGATTTGTCTTAAAGCAATGAAACACATACATACGTATGCCATACTGGCCTCAAACTAGTGATCTTCTGCCTCAGGCTCATGAGTCCTGGGGTTACTGGCATGTGCCACTAAGTCCAGCTAAGTCATATTTATTTAAACTCAGCTGGAAAATGTAGCAAGACTCTTTCTATTTCCAGCTTTCAACTCCAAAGTTCACATACTCAGCAAGTTTTCAGCAACACAGTATTTACCTGCCTCACCCCCTCTTCCCATACCAGATTTTCTTATAATAGTTTTCCTGTTTCTCCTTTTACACCACTCACCACATTTGTAACCCTATGTTTATTCTTTCGTGTGTGAGTGCATGTGTGTGGTACTGGAGATCGAACTCATGATTGAACTAATCCCAGCCCTTTTAAAATTTTGAGACAGGATCTTGGTATGTCACTAAATTGCCCAAGCTGGGCTTAAACTTTTGATTTTTTCTTATTTAATTCATCTGTGTCCCTCATTCAACTGTTTGTATCCTTCAAAAAGATACCGCATCTGATTCTACCCACAACTGAAGCTCCAGCAGACACTAAACATTCAATTTAAATTTGCTTTCGAAAGGAAGTTATTTGTAGGTAACTTTCTGAGCATCAAGAAACAGTCAGAGCTGCATTCCCACTAAGGTGGTGTGTGGCTGGGGGCGAAAATGTTCAGTTCTCCAGAGTTAGAATACTAATTTCACCATGTACTGATAACCTTGGGGTAAGCCCTTTAATCGCTGGCCTCAGTTCCCCAATTTGTAAAAGGCGTATGACATTCATTCATCTACAACATAGGGTAGCTTCAGATATCATTAAGACAGTACACACTATATACTTGGCGCAGTTCTGGGACACAGGAAGGGTCCACACTATATTTAACGACTTTTGTCATAAGACACCTCAATGAACTCCCTACCGAAGAATAACGACTTAAATCAGGGACCCGTGGCGTCAGTGGTTATCTAGTATCTGCTTTCGTGAAGCCTAAAGTAAAAAAACGCAAGCGAGACAAACACATAGCTCGGGAGCAGGGAGGAGGGAGACGCGCCAGGTAGAAACAGAATCCCGTGGGAGGGGACAGGGAGAAAGGCTCGCGGAGACGACATATGAAAAGGTTTCTTAATTAAGGCTGGATGGAATGAGAGATCCCAACCCCCTTTCCGCTTCTGGTTGAAGTAGATGCCCTCGCTGCGGCCTGTCCGTGGCTTGTCCTTCGCGAAAGCGAAGCCCCGGGCCAGAACCAAGTTACAGGGAAGGCGACGCGGCCGCGGGACTCACCGGCGGCGCTGAAGCCGAAGCCGACGGGGACTGGCGAGTGTTCCGCAAGCTCCAATCGGATGACAATCAGTGACACACTCATAGGGCAGGCGCTGGCCGGCGTGGGCCCCGGCGGGCTCAGGGGAGGTGGGAAGCCAAGCTGAGAGCCCGACCAGCCCGGGGCGGGCCACGCCGCCACCGCCTAGCCGCTACCGCCGCCGCCTCAGCAGCAGTACTCTGCACAATCCTCGGAGCCACTACCTCCTCCACTTCCGCCTCCCGGCCGCCGTCGCTGACCCCCACCGCGGGGTCACGCATGCGCACAACAGTACTTGCGCCGAAAGGGCGGGGCGGCGCAGAGGAGTTTGAGTCCAGCTTCTGGGAACTGTGAGCCGACTAGTAGGTTGTAACAGTGTCGCTGCGTTCCTAGTAGACGGCGCGGCGCTTTGTTCCTGGCTGAATTAACTGACCGCAGAGTGCCCGGCTCCACGAGATCTCCAGGTTGTTTGAAGAACCTGCTTGATGCCCAGGCTTTTGCCTATTATTATTTTTGTGACCTCTCTCCAGCTGTAGAAGGGGTTGGGTTGCTTTGTGTCAAGCCCTCTTTACAGATTCTTACGTACTCGGAGGCTCTGAAAGGTGAAGTTGCTTCTCTGACGGCTCAAGGGAACTGGATTGCAGTTTTTGACTCTGTTAAGGTAGGGCGGTGGGCCAGTTAAAAGGACAGAGTTAGGGATAGTTCGGATCCTGTTTCCCGACTCACTTCAAAACTGATTACTAGGGGCTGGGGATTTAGCTCAGCGGCATAAGCGCCTGCCTTGCAAGCAGGCAGTCGTGAGTTCGGTCCCTGGTACCGATAAAAAACGAGAAAGACAAAAAAAAAAAAAAAAAAAAAAAAAACTGATTACTGAGCCGGGCATAATCCTAGCACTTGGGAGGCTGAGTCAGGAGGCTCGTCGCGAGTTAGCAGCAAGCCAAAATTACATAGCGAGACCTCCTCTCTTAAAAAAAAAAAAAAAAAAAAAAAAAAAAGTTTGCTGACTGTCTCAGCACTGTCTGGGTGGTTGGAATACACTGATGAAGATAATAAATACACTTTCTGCCTTTATGCAGTGGACCTTTATCACTAGTTGTGCAATCTTTCCTTTTTCTGTTTTTTGAGTTGTTCTGTAATCCAGGTTTACTTCGAACTCACTGTGTAGCCCAGGTTGGCCTCAAACTCAGTAGTCTTCTTGCCTCAGCCTCCTGAGTGCTGGGATAACAGGTGTGCAACACTGGCCAGGCCTCTTTTTTTTTTTTTTTTTTTTTTTTTTTGAGATAAGAGTCTTTACCAAGTCAGTAAGTTGCCTACGGTGACCTCGAACTTTCAGTAAAAGGTAAAAAGATTTATACAATCTGAAGAGGAACCAGAGTATGGCCTCGAACTTTCAGACCTCCTGCATCAGCTTCCCAGACATACGCCACCATGCCCAACTAACCAGTTGTGTAATCTTGAGTTAGTCGTTGTATAAAGTTGGGATAATACCATATAGTAATTGTGAGGATGAAATGAAATGTGTATAGAGATAATGGTAACATTCTTCAATGTTCTACTGTCTTTAGCAAATAATGACAGCCACAACCAATCCATGCAAGACACGTAATTACAGGATGCTAGCCTGCATATATGCTGTGATACATAAGGTGTGTGAGTACACATTAGACAGGTACAGGCTATATGGACTGTATATGTACAACATGACCATGTGACATAAGCATATATACAGCTTGTGACTATGCCCTGTGAAACACATTCATACCCTTGTCTATAAAAAGGTCTTTTCAGTCTTTGCACTGTTGACATTTTGGGTCCTGATAATTCTTTGAGGATGTGTTAATGGGTATTCAGTGCATTATAGGATCTTAAGAAGCATCTCTGGCCTGAACCACTAGACATCAGTAGCACTCAATGGTGATCATCAGAAATGCATCCAGATGTTGCCAGGGCCCCAAACACTCCCTGTTGAGAATCTGGTTTGTGTAAAAGTACATAAACCGTACACACATAGTATATATGTATGACATATGAGGCTTAATGTGAACTGTTGTTGTTGTATTACAGTACTAGATAATTTCTTTTTTTAGTGATGCTGGAGATTAAACCCGCAACCTTTCACATACTAAATACACTCTCTGCCACTGAGGTGTGCACCCGGCCTAAGTGGAAACAACATTTAGTGTTGTGCCAGATACTGACTGGAGTGTTTTCGATACATTTTTCTCATGCAATGCTAACAACACCTTTATGAGATAGGTACTGTATTTGTGCAAATTTAACAGAGGAAGAACCTGAGGCTTAAAGTAATGTGTCTAGGATCTCAAACTTCGTGAATAGGGTTAGAATTTGTTTTGTTTTGTTTTTTTGACTTTTTGAGACAGGGTCTCACTATGCAGTTCAGGCTGGCCTAGAGCTCACTGTAGCACAGGCTAGTCTCAAACTCCTAATGATCCTCCTGCCTTAACCTCCCAAGTGCTGGGATTACAAGTGTGGGCCACTGTGCCTGGCTAGCGTTAGAATTTGAAACCAGGCAATCTTGCACTTGAGAGGCAGAGGCAGGAGGGTGAGTTCAAGGCAGTCTGAACTACAGAGTGAGATTCTGTCTTTTTTATTTTTTATTTTTTGTCTTTTTGAAACCAGGCAATCTTGAATCCATAGCTAAAATTTAGTCTCTTTACTAATCCATCTCCTTAATGTATAATAAGACACACTATTTGTGTATTTGTAAAACCATAATTTAGGCAGCAATCTATATGATGCTAATCTCATTCAGAGTGGCAAGGAGAAGATAGATATTCTTTGTGGTTTAGAAGATGCCAGTTCCAGCCAGGTATTGTGGCACATGCCTGTAATCCCCACACTCAGAAGTCTGAGGCAAGAGAATCATTGCAAGTTTGAGAGCAGCCTGAGCTACACAGTGAGCTCAATCCCAGCCTGAACTGTACTCTGAGAACCTGTCCGAAAAAGACAAAAAAAAAAAGAAGAAGATTCCAGTTCCAGAGAGTTGGAATTGTTGGACAGGACAGTTTTTTTGTGGCTGTCAACTACTAAACTTGCCCTCAACTTTTCCCTATTTTTAAAAATGTTTAGTACTGGGAATGGAACTCAGGGTTACTTTACCACTCACCTATATTCCCAGCCCAGTTCCTTTATATATTTTATTTTCAGGCAGAGTCTTGCTAGATTGCCCCGAATGGACTGAATTTGCCATCCTCTTGCCTCAGCCTCACAGAGTACTGGGATTGCAAGTTGTCACCATGCCTGGTTTTCCCCGTTTTCCTCCCCCCCCCCCACCGCCCCTGTGGTACCAGGGATCGAACTCATGACCCTTGCACTTGCCAGGCAGGCACTTATGCTGCTGAGCCAAATCCCTGGCCCCACATTTTCTAATATATCCAGTTTGACTTACAAGTCACATTTATACTGAGCATCTGCTGTGTCTAGGCCTGTACCAAGGTTGGGGGATAGATGAATACAAAGACAGGATCCATCTTGCCTTAAGGGACCTTACAATTCTTTTTTTCGTTTTTTGTTTTTTGTTTTGGTATGAGGGATCGAACTTATGACCTGGTACTTGCCAGGTAGGCACTTAAGCCTCTGAGCTAAATCCCCAGCCCGGACCTTACAATTCTAAGGGCTAGTAGACATGAAAACAGTTACAGTGCAATTAGGTAAGAAGTGTATTGAGGGTAAAAAGAAAGAGCAATGAGGGTAGGTCTATCATTTGCTTAGAAAAGGAAGGAAGGAAGGATTGATTGATTCTGTAAAAGAGATAGAAAGGTTTGAGCATGCTAAGCAAAAAGGCTGTGATGTAAAAGTAAATGGAAATTCATGATGCAGATAAAGCCAGGAAAAGTGCTGTAGTCCATGAGCTTAGCAAGTACTAAGGGCTGAGAGGTTGGATGTTAGATCATTTTCCTGGTCTGAAGAGAATGTTGGCAAGTGGCCAGTACAGAACTATCATCTGTAGCTGGAGGAGTAAGCAAGCTGCTAGTGGGAGCATTGCCCACATATCCATTAGCTGGAGAGTGTGGAAGGCAGTGACCTCTGTGGGATACAAAGATCGTCCTTAAGGCCCCAGAGACACTTTCCATCTCTTTAGCCCTCACACAAGATGTGTTGATGCTTTTACAAGACTATAAATACACTTCTCTTTGTATCATAAACCTTGGTCTTGGCATAGAAATATAAATAAATGCAAATCAACGTCAAGGTTTTTTGTTTCACAGTTTACTCACAAATACAGCAAATAGCCCCTAACTGAGAAGCACATCATAAGATTTTTAAGATTTACTGCCCAGAATTCCTAATTTTTTTTAAGCCCAGGACCTTGTGCATGCTAGATAAGTCCTCTGCTGCTGAGCTACACTCCAGCCTATTTCCTTTCTTTAGATGCTTATGCAATTTAGAATACTTGTGGCAGCACTGAAGCGACAAAATTGTGAACTGTCTTACCAACGTTTTTGCTCTAACTTGATTTTTAGAAAATGTTGGTTTTGGTGTTGGAGAACCCAACATAGAACCTTGTGCCCGTGGAGCACGTGCTGTAGCCCTGAGCCACATCCCCACACTTTTTTTTTTTCAAATGCGGTCTTGCCATGCTGACTAGGTTATTCCCAAACTCCAGCACACCTCCTGCCTCAGCCTCCTAAGTAGCTGGGACTACTGGTGCGTGTCTGCACATCCCACTTGAAAAGCTTTTTAACTATAAAACCACTTGAAAGACTCAATGATTTCCACGAGACGCATAGAACTTTCCTACATACTTTTTTCTCCCTACTTTTTTAAATCTGTAGAAAATTTCAAAGAAAGGATGCTGTCTCATATACCTTTTATCTCAGTTGACTGTTGACATTTTAATCTCTGTACCATGTAGTTAGGAATATATTGTGCAGATGTGTGTCTCTATATGTTTTTTTCTTTGAACTTTCTTCTTCTTTCTTCTCTTTTTCATGACAGCACTGGAGATTGAACCCAGGGCTTTGTGTATGGTGAACAAGCACTTTATGCTCCAACTCTCCTGCATCCTTTTGAAAGTAAGTTTAGAAAAGAGGCAAGTGGGAGTTATTAGGAGGCCAAGACAGTGCTCTGTAAGAGACAGAAATGATGATGATGTTTTGATATTATGATGCTGGCATCCAATATGAGGAGGAGGTGATGGCAGCATATACAGGAGAGACTCATTTGTCTTTTCTGGTAGCCAGAAGAGGTTTCATGACAGTGACTGTACAACCCCGAAGACCACTTGGAATTAG